ACTAAATCGCTGCATTGCGCCGCATGCCGAATCTCCTTGCCGAACCGCGAGTCCAAGCTAGCCATAACCGGTGACGGCGACAAGGGAGACGGCTAACCGAACCGGATCTGCTCTCTGAAGTCGCCAATCTGAACTGGATTTGGACTCGCAACGCCGATCTCTTGATGACCCACTACCGCCACATCACTGGTTGCCTTCCTCGACCAGAGCTTATGGCCGAGCTCTACTGCCGGTTCATCTTTTCCTAGCCGAGTCCTGCGATCCACAAATCCTCCTGATTTTTTTTTTTTTGATATATCATATATATATATATATATATATATATATTATATGCAAATAAATAAATAAATATCAAAACTCTTTGTTTGGCCACAAGTGTTATACTATTCCAGTTCTGGATTAGTTCAAAACTAAACCAGTTTTGTAACCTCCTTTGAAAACTAGTTCTATGATAAACCAGTTCAAAAAAATAAATAAATAAATAAGTGAAAAAAATATTGAATTATCTGGAGCAGCCAAGTCTACCTACAAATGCACTCATTGCAACCAGACTGGTCATACTAAAAGTCGCTGTTTCAAACTCGTAGGATATCCGGAATGGTGGATCATCACCGTTGGAAGAAGAATTCAACAAAGACCTCCACTGCAGCAGTTGTTAAAACGACAGATACTGGTGGTAAGAATTTCAATATTTCTACACATGTTGCTAATAGTGCATAGATAATTGATTCTGGTGCCACATATCATATGACATTTGATTCTAGACAGGTCTCGCCTCTTGATTCATCCTTACATAAATTTGTTTCAACTGCAAATGGGACTTCAACCCCAGTTATTAGGGAATGATCTTTGACATTCACTAATAATCTGTATTTAGATTTTGTTTTAGTTGTTCCATCTTTAGATTCTAGTCTTTGGTCAGTTTTCCAAAAAATCACAGCTTTATCTTGTGCTGTCATTTTTTGGCCTGATTTTTGTGTGTTTAAGGACATCTAAACAAAGCAAACAATTGGTTGTGGTATTAGGTGAAGGAAATTGTATTACTTGGACTTGATATCCAAAAGTTCCGACAAGTTACGACAAACATTGACAATGGATGGTTTTAAGGGGGAGTGAAAAAAATCTAAAATCTGGCTGTGGTATCGACGTCTGGGGCATGCTTCCTTTGGTTATCTAAAAAAATTATTTCCTAGTTTGTTTGCAAAATGTGATGTTTCTACTTTCCACTGTGATGTTTGTGAACTAGCAAAGAGCCACAGTGTTTCGTATCCATTATGTTTGCATAAAAGTCCATTTCCTTTTATGCTTATACATTATGATGTTTGGAGTCCGTCCAAAGTCACTACTTTAGGTAGATCCTGTTGATTTGTTACTTTTATTAATGATTGTACCAAGATGACCTGGTTGTGCTTGATGAAGTCCAAAGGTGAAGTGAACTTATTGTTTCAGAAGTTTCATAAAATGGTTGAAACTCAATACAATGCATATGTTCAGCTTCTCCGTAGTGACAATGGTGGAGAATATCAGAGTTTTGACCTTCAGCAGTATTTGGAAGCACATAAAATAATTCACCAAACCACTTGTTCCAATACACCCCAGTAGAACGGGGTTGCAGAGCGAAAAAATCGACACTTGTTGGAGGTTGTTTGTGTTTCATTGATAGAAGCGCATATGCCATTATTATATTGGGGAGAAGCACTTACCTCTACAGCATATCTCATCAATCGAGTACCTTCCAGCTCTATTGCCTTCCGGACACCATTGCAGGCTCTTACTGACGCAGTTGTTGCCCCAACCGTCTTAAATCTACCTCCTCATGTCTTTGGTTGTGTAGCATTTGTACACCTCTATAAGTATCAACGCAACAAGCTAATTCCTCGAGCATTGCGATGTGTTTTTCTCGAATATGCTACTCATCAAAAGGGGTATCGCTGTTATCACCCTCCCACTCGATGAATGTCTATCACAATGGATGTTGTCTTCCATGAAGACTCAATGTATTTTTCCTCTGCGTCTGAACTTCAGGGGGAGTACTAGAACGAAATTCAAACTCTAGATTATGATTTTCACATTTTTTAGGATGGCGAGTCTAATGATAATGACTCACAAGTTGGACCAACCAATCAGGAATCAGGCAAATTGGATTCGAGTGGTATAAGTTTGGATCAAAGTGGTGATGAACGCCTAGAAATGGAAAGTATGGCGCCAACCCCATCGTCGTCTGAGTTCAAGTCCCTCGCAACTGATATATCAAACTAATCGTCTGCTGAGGATGTTCCTGATTTAGTAAAGTTCATAAAATAATTACCACCGTGTCACACTAGAGGTATTCCTAAACCCATATATGAACCCGAACTTTCTAGTAAAGTTAAGTATCCCATGAGCAATTGTGTGTCGAACTATCATTTGCCAGAATCAAATTTGTCGTTTGTAAATCAATTATCTACTGTATCTATTCCTAACAGTGTGCAGGAAGCTTTAGCTGACCCTAGGTGGAAAGCAGCTATGAACGAGGAGATGAAATCCTTGCAAAAAAATGAAACTTGGAAATTTATTGATCCTCCACCAGGAAAGAAACCAGTTGGATGTCGATGGATTTACACTGTGAAGTATAAAGCAGATGGCACAGTTGAACGCTTTAAAGCAAGATTAGTGGCAAAAGGTTACACCCAAACCTATGGAATCGATTACACAGAGACGTTCTCACCTATAGCCAAAATAAACACAGTTCGTATCTTGTTATCTCTAGTTGCGAACTTGGATTGGCCATTGCAACAATTCGATGCGAAGAATGCCTTTCTACATGGTGAATTATCTGAAGAAGTCTACATGGATCTCCCACTAGGATGCATGATACCCGAAAAGTATAGTCGGAAGGTCTACAGGTTAAAGAAATCATTATATGAGTTGAAACAATCTCCAAAAGCATGGTTTGGAAGATTAACAAAGTCTATGATAGCCTTTGGCTACCATCGGAGCAATTCAGACCACACGTTATTTCTGAAGAAACAACATGGTAAGATCACTTCACTCATTATATATGTAGATGACATGGTGGTTACAGGAATGATTCTGAAGAAATGAAGGCTCTCAAGAAGTACTTGTCCAGAGAATTCGAAATGAAATGTAATGACCCAGGTTTTATTCAACCCGGAGCAACAGTGATGAACCGAAGATTAACCCGATAACGGATCCAAATGCAGAAGTAAGAAATAAGACAATGGTCTCCTAAGGCACAAAACACCTCTAAGACCCTAAGATGACCTTCCATGAGGTCACGGAACTCAAAGGAACAAAATGTGAAGGCAAAAGATCGAAAAAATAACAATTAAGCACCCAGGGGCAAAGTAGTCATTTCTAAATGTATGAATTCAGATGCTACCGAGCACACCACTAGAAAGACGATGAAAAAGTAATCAAAATGGACTTAAGAATCACATGATTCGGAGTCCGATCGAAGAAAAAATGACAGGATGAAGAAAAACGAGCAAAACCCGTTAATCAATGGCAAAATGGTCAATTTACAAATGAGATGAGAGATTTGACTCTAAGTAATTCAAATAAGGTCCACACAACCTAAGCTAATCATTTCACAACATTCCAAGAGGTTCTAAGAACTTTAGACAAAAATCCCACAAGAAGCCCTTTCCCGGTTCGAACCAAATCCTGACACTACTTCACTAAAACTTGAATAACTCCCACTATGATTTGTATATGAGAATAGAATTAGTACCATTGGAAATCTGACTCAAAATCCATGAATTTAGGCTCAAGAATGACCCCATTTGGGTTAGAAATGAAGAAGATATGGCCATTTGAAGTTGGAATATCAATGCTGAAACAAAATCTAGAGGGCAGCTAAATGTGGGTTATTTCGGTCGACCAAAACTCACATAAATTTTTCAGAACACTTGTTTTTGAGGCAAGGTTGGTTCAGTAGGCCGAATTGAGCCATCGGTCGACTGAAATAAGCCATCGGTCGACCGAAATAGGCCAAAACAGTGAAAATGGCTACTGGAACAAATGTTTTTGATGCTCAATTGAATTCCAAAGGCCATCGGTCGACCGAAATGAAGAAATGGTAGATCGAAATGGCTCGAAATAGTGCTGAAGGACCTGCTATGAACAAAAAATGTTGAGGCTTCACCCAAGCCTCAAACCCCAACATGAATGTGGTCTAAAAACATGGTTTTAAGCTATACAAGCATGCCAACAAGTGTACTTTACATATTGAAGAGTGTTACAATGGCCCATGGCCTCATTACATTTCATTTACAAGATTTTACATGCCAAACTTTCATAGTTGATAAAAATACATTTTTAAACAACATGTGGCACCAAATGAATACAAGTGCAAATATAAGCATACTTGGCCCTTGGCCTCATGTCATATACGTCAAATACATTACAAAAAGTGTACTTATGTACACATTACATACATGGAATCAAAGAATACAAGTTTGAATATATAGGGCTACAAAATGGCATTTCATGCTAACATTTGCATGAAATGGAAATTTAGCGCTATAAGTCACCCCAATGAACACTACAAGAAGTTGGGGTTTTAGGGATAGTCGAAACTGTCCCTAAAAGCCCCGAATCCATCCCTATAAGTCAAATTGGTCCGTCATTAAAAGTAGCGTGCCAAAAGAGCTTTAAGGACGGTCAAAGTTGACCGTGACAAATACTTTTGACCTTTAAGGACAGTCCAAACTGTCCCAAATAACACCATCCCTAAAAAAATTTAGGGACGGTCTAGACTGTCCCTAATAAGGTACAAATTAGGGACAGTTTGTAAGACTGTCCCCAATACCTATTGTATTAGGGATGGTCCATATACAGTATTAAGGACGGACAGACCGTCCTAATACATTATTTTTAAATTATAATTATTGTATTAAACCGTCCCTAATACATTATTTGTAAATTATTATTATTATTATTATTATATATTGTATGCTTGATTTGTGAATTTAACCATTCTGGATACATGCAAAACATAAACAAAATAGATCCACAATAATATTCAAAAAGATATTACTAGCCATAAAACAAAATTAATCCACAATATATATATTCAAGATCCATAAAATATAAAATCTCCAGTTTTCTAAACAAAAACTAAAACCATGTGGTAGCATAAAAATTTATTCCATCCTCTTCAAGATCCATTATTCATTCTGTTGGTGGTTGTGGTAGTGCTTGTTGGTGCCACCATGTTGGTGGCGGCTGCTGATATTGCCATTTTATTGTTGGTGGCGGCTGCTGAAAATGAGAGTCTGCTGGAGGTAGCGGTGGCTGTTGATGCCAGTTTGGTGCGGTTTGCTGCAGTTGGGAATCTGATGGAGACTGTTGTTGGTAGAACCATGGTGGTGACTGCTGCTGCTGCTGAAATTGAAGGAACCATGGTGGCGGCTGCTGCTGATATTGGAGGAACCATGGTGGTGGCTGTTGTTGGTACTGCTCAAGCATCTTCTCAAATTTTTCCATCTTTTCCGTCATTTGTACATTTCTTTCTTCAGCAATTTCGGCCTTTTTCCTAGAAGCCTCATCACATGATGAGGAGGCACGTTGACGCTTTGGAGCCACGAAACCATGTCCAAATCCACGGCAATATCCCTTCCTTATGCCTAGTTGGTTTTGTACTTGGACTCGTACCATCAGAATTTTGAGAATTTTGTGCAGTATTTTCTTTCATTGCATCCTGCAAAATATTTAAGTTCTCTATCAAATTAAAAGAATATGGCATAGGAATAAATCATGTGCAAGCTAGAATACTAATCTCAATAGAGAGAAAAAAAAAATGCTTAATAGCTATGGATCTAATCTCCTGGGAAACATGTGATTAAAGTAAACAAACAAGTAATGTTGTTATATTTTTATACAAATTGTACATATCAACGTCTCATGTCTAACTTTACACTGCAAAATGCATGTCCCGTTAAGTTGAGACTGACTATTGGAAAGAAATCAATCTCTGTATCTAGACATTAATTTGAGGTCACCTAAAATCCCATCTTTAATTTCTTTCTCTTGTAACAAATTTTACACAATTAAAAAAAAAAAAAAAAAAAAAAAAAAAAAACCATTTCCAGACAATGCTAATCACATTCAACTAATAAGAAGAAAAAGTATCAGCAAACTAATAACACTCTATTTGGTTATTGGGAAATGCCAGATATAAGATAAAAGAAAAGCATCAACATCCCTAGAAAATAAGCCAATGTATTTTTTTTTCTCCCAAGAAACAAACCAAAAAACGTTAGTTCTAATTTTCCATCCACTAAAATCTACCTAATTATTTTAAAGATCTATTCCCATGATTCTATGCACTACTCACATCAACTACAAATTCAATTCAAAATCATAATCATCTAAAGGAAAATGTATATATATATCTGATAAGGAATATGCACCACCATTTTGAATCAAATAAAAGAGAGAGAAACAAACATATCAAGGAAATCAATAGAAAACATGATATAAATTTATATGTGTGCATGTTTGCATGAACATATATATAAATACATTTGTATATACATATATAGAGAGAGAAAGAGAAAGACCTTAACATCTGTAGGTTGGAAATAGATGAAGAGATAATAACCAATGACAAGTCCAGCAGACAAACCAAATCCAAATCCTGCACACCACATTATAAAACTCAAGAGACCCATCTCTAAAATCCACCAGAAATCCCATTCCTCTCTTCCCAATTCCCCAGAAAACGCAATCAACTCCCTCCTCCTCTCAATCACCAAATCTTGTTTTCCAGACAAACCCAGATTCCAAATCCAAAAAATTCAATAAAACCCGTTTGGAATCTCCTCATCTGCAACAATTCTTGAGTAATCTTTCCCAAATGCTCTTCTCACGAGGATGAATCTAAACAAACCGCTTAATTCGAAACAAAGCACAGCCTTTTCATGTTATTAAATTACAGGATAACAGTTAAGGTGAAAAAACTAGTCAGATTAAGATTAGTTGATTGATATACAACTTCTGATTAAGTGAGCATTCAAAAAGAACATTTTAAATATGTTCAGCACTCTTCTTTTAAATTTGTTTCTTTCCCTTTATTTTTTATTTTCCCGGTGGTAAAAACCATTCTAAATCATCTAATATTCTCGCCATTTTTACTATACGTAGACTGTATCATCATCTCATAGTTTGCCTATGTAATACCCCTAAATTCAAAAGGATAGGTTTGGTATTTAATTAATTGTTTATTTTTGCATTTTTAAATTGATTAAGTGTGTATTTGCATTAATTGTTAAATTATTTGATTTAAATGTGTTAGTTGGGTGTTTAAATTTCATTTATTTGCTTATTTGATTTATTTTATTTTAATTCAATTAATTGTGTATTTGTTTTCTTTAATTGATTGTTTACATTTATTTTCTTACATTAACTGTTAAATTGTATTTCTCTTGTACATGCACGTATAAAAAAAACGCTAACCGACTTAGGTAGTGGATGGATTTTAGGGTTTTATGTTTGAACGTAACCGACTTAGGGTTGGTGTAGGATTTAAATTAGGGTCTCAATTAAAACCTATATATATATAAGTATAGGTCTGCCAAGGGCTTTGGTTAACCCTATTCACGTAACAGAGTCCTACAGAGAATTGGGAGAACAGAGAAAGAAAGGTTAAGGTTGGCTTAGAGTTAAGGGCTGAACCAAGGAGGAGGTGTTGATGCATGCTCGTGGATTGAATTAGAAGCAACGAAGGCCAGTAAAAATAACTAAGGTCACCGGAGTTGCTAGAGACGGAGGTTTAAAGGTTTCTGAACTGAAATCGGAGGCAAGTCTTGTTCTAGCTCTTTCCCTTTAACTCGTGTTCTGTGCATGCCTAGGTAGACTCCAGGCCTTTAATGGATGCTAAAACAAGTCTTTATTGCATGTTTGAAATATTTTTAGTTCCATTGAATTAAATTGATATGCGAAATTCTGTAATCTCTGTTAACTGGTTCATACCGTTGTTGTATTTAAAGTATGTTTAATTGAGAACCTTGATGAATATTGATGTCTTAAAAATTAGTCCGGGATATTGATTGAATAATAGAACACGTAGTAAAAGATTTACAGAGGCCAGAGTAAACTGAAATAGCTTTGTTGGAATTAAACTGTTTACAAGTTCTTTCAGTTCGGTTAATTGATGCATGCTTCGTTTAAGTTTAAGCTTTGTTTAATTGATGTCTTTGATGCATGTCAATGCTTTATAACTGTTGTAGGACACTAATTAAACCTTAGAGCAAATATTAAAACAAATACAGAGGTCGTGGAACACGCCGGAGTCGAGGAAAACGAAGCAGAGACGGGGAGACAGCTCTTAGGGGTGAGAGAGACGGCTCCCAAAGGAGGGAGCCACCTCCCACAATGCAAGAGTCGGCTCCCAAGGCCTTAGAGCCGGCTCCCAAGGGTGGGGAGCCGGCTCCCATATTTTGGAGAATGCTCTAAATTTTTCTGAGCCTTCTCTTCCTCTGAAACATACAGTTATGTATTTTTAGGGTCTGTTTGGTCGGTGCAGGGTATTTCTACTTGATTTAAACTATTTTAAATCATGTGTAGGAATGTTGTAAACCTATAAAAACAATAGGGAAACATCAATTCATAATTTGATTAAGGAATGGAGTAGGGTGAACTTGGGGAAAAACCTGTAGGTTGGGCACTGTTATGGTTAAGAAATTTATTACTGTAAATTGGAGATTGTTTTTATTTATGATTTAAAGTTGTGAATCATATTTAGATGGAGTTATAAGTATAGTGACTTACCTGAAATTACCTATGCTTTGTTTGGATTAAAAATTGACATATGTTTGCTATTTAACTGCATCAATTTATGGACAAGTTGGAGAATGTAAATGCTTAGATTATTTTAACAGTTTACATTATTGGAATGTTATTTTTAGGCCCTATATTTAATGCCTAATACTGATATATATGTATTAATTTATATTGATGCATAGTGTGGAGTATAATTGATGAATTGCTTAATACTGTTTAATCAATTTTATTATGTGGAGGTATGTATATGGACCGATATGGGACGGTGGCATATTGGGGATGGATTAGTTCAAACACTAAGTCCTACCTATTTTGAAATAAGATGGATTAACTGCAAAATGTTAAGTCCTACTTATATGTATGTATATGCACCGGTATGGGACAGTGGCAAATTGGGGATGGATTAGTTCAAACACTAAGTCCTACTTATTTTGAAATAAGATGGATTAACTGCAAAGTGTTAAGTCCTACTTATATGTATGTATATGCACCGGTATGGGACGGTGGCAAATTGGGGATGGATTAGTTCAAACACTAAGTCCTACCTATCTTGAAATAAAATGGATTAACTGCAAAATGTTAAGTCCTATTTATAAGTTGGTGTCAGGTCAATAAACCTTTTGAATGACACACCTTGAACGAACTTTATATATTTATGTTATGGTGCCATGGTATGAGCTTGAGTCTCAGGACCATGGTTAGGGTGCGTATATCGCCTAGGATGGATAACTGGACGGTGGTTTCTGTTCCCTGGTAGGTCTAGATACAAATGACCACAGTATGTGCGATTTGCATGGTATCTCTACTCAGGCTGAGACGTACCACTTGGACTAGTGAGCGTCTTATAGTGTGTAATTATATATATATATATGGACTACTCTAGATATTGTTGAGCTATCTAGGATGTATCTGCGTATAGGGTTTCTGATTGGATCGTAGTAGAATAGGACTTGCATGTGGGCCTGACCCACTCCTTTATTTTTTTCAGGTGTTGTCAGTTCCAGGGCTAGGGCTTGGACGTGCAGAGCAGATACAGACACTCACTCCTCCGATAATGTAGGATTTCATTTTATATTCTAGATTAGGATTTTGTCTTCAGCTGATTATTTCAGTTTGGATTTTAGGGGTCCACTAGATGGATTCCCGAGTTGTATCTATTTTGGAGATTTGAATTTTTATTAATCTTTATCATTTGGAGGATTTTAAATTTAGTTTTGTTTCCAGCTTTAATATTTATTTCGTAAATCTATTTTGTAATCTGCGTTCGTTTATGTATTAATTGTTTGGTATCCCTCGGATCTGTGCTCGGACTTGATCACCCGTGGCTCTAGAATCGAGGGGTATCACAGTTGGTATCAGAGCACTCCAGGTTCAAGTGTCTCTAGGATTTTATCGTATTAAGACTTCCGCATAGCGTTCTCTTTTGTTTAGAGCTTTAAGTTTAGGATTCGTTGAATTCCTTTACGGTCCGTTTACGATCATACGGATGTCTGTCTTTCTATGTTAACAGTATGGTTAATGCTGGAAGATGACAGAATATGAACAGACGACAGAGGAGACTGGCACATAGGCAGCAAGAACGGCTACGGCGTCGGGAAATGGGGGAAGAACAGCAAGTGCCTAGGTTTCAAGAGGAAGATGGTCAGTTGTAGTTAGAGCATGAGGACGTTGAGCATACTCAAGAGTCTCAGCGTCAGGCCTACAATCAGGGCAGGGATCCAGAGTATTCTCCTCAGTTAGTTTACATCATTGCTCAGGCTGTAGCTGCAGGCGTAGTAGCGGCACTTCAGAGTCAGCTACATGTTCAACAAACACTCGAAGCAGTACCAGAGGTGCAGAATGAGTCTCATAGTCATTGTTTTGCCTGCGGAGACTTTGGGCATACATCCAACCAATGTTCTGGGTTAGCTCAAGGACAACAGAATGGGGGACCACAGGTCGGGCGTGATCAGCCATAGTCTAACCAGCAAAGGAGTCCGTTTGGTACTTTTAGGGGTACTTGCTATATTTGTGGAGGGTACGGTCATACTTCCAGGCAGTGTCCTATAAGCGGATATATCGGGCCATCCCAGCGGGGGGGTACCAAACCGCAAGGAGGATGGTTATTTTAAGAGTAATTTTAATTACTAGTGGCAGTGGAGATTTTTAATAAAGGTGTAGTACGGATTTAAACGCGTACACTAGTAGTATATTAAAGAATAATTTATGATTATTTGTTTGACAGCTATGGTTTGGAAAAGTTCTTAATAAAGTGAACTAATGGTTTTGGCTATCTTTATTATGTTTTGTGATTGTATTGTTGTGATATGTACCTATATGGTTTTTTTAGACTATTGGGATGTGTATGTTGCGATAATAGAGGAATATCACAATGAAGTGATTGGTTTTGACAGGCAAATAGATATATGCTTGTAAGTACATTGTATGAGGTTGGAGAGAGCAGGTTCTTGGGTCCCGTATTTATTAAGGATACTTCTGAAAAGGGTGTTCTTATTGGGGATCGTATGCTCATGGCTCAGAGTTGGCAAAAGAGTTATGCAACTCGTCATACTCATGTGTTAGAGTTTCAGGTTGGGGATCAGGTTCTACTCAAAGTGTCTCCTCTGAAAGGTGTTATGCGCTTTGGGAAGAAAGGGAAGTTGTCACCGCGAGTTGTCAGTCCATTCATGATTATGGATCGAGTTGGAGCTTTCGCTTATCGGTTAGCACTTCCGGATAATTTGAATCGCGTCCACAATGTGTTTCATGTTTTTCATGTTGCGAAAATATCTGTGAGATGAGAGTCGGTATCAACATATCGATGTTGGGAAGATTGAGTTGCAGCCGGATGCGACTTATTTGGAGTCACAGAGTCGTATTGTCGACCGTAGGGATTAAATCCTTTGTAATAAGGTTATTTTTTTTTTTGTGCGTGTTCAGGGGAATCATCACAATGAGGCTGAGTCCACTTGGAATAGGGGGTTAGCAGTCGCTCGCAGTTTCCATATATTTTGCAAGAAGGTAAAAGCGAATTCTGAGAACGGAATTCCTTTTGTTAGGGGGGAGAATGTAATACCCCTAAATTCAAAAGGATAGGTTTGGTATTTAATTCATTGTTTATTTTTGCATTTTTAAATTGATTAAGTGTGTATTTGTATTAATTGTTAAATTATTTGATTTAAATGTGTTAGTTGGGTGTTTAAATTTCATTTATCTGCTTATTTGATTTATTTTATTTTAATTCAATTAATTGTGTATTTGTTTTCTTTAATTGATTGTTTACATTTATTTTCTTGCATTAACTGTTAAATTGTATTTCTCTTGTACATGCACGTATAAAAAAAACGCAACCCGACTTAGGTAGTGGATGGATTTTAGGGTTTTATGTTTGAACGTAGCCGACTTAGGGTTGGTGTAGGATTTAAATTAGGGTTTCAATTAAAACCTATAAATATATAAGTATAGGTCTGCCAAGGGCTTTGGTTAACCCTATTCACGTAACAGAGTCCTACAGAGAGTTGGGAGAACAGAGAAAGAAAGGTTAAGGTTGGCTTAGAGTTAAGGGCTGAACCAAGGAGGAGGTGTTGATGCATGCTCGTGGATTGAATTAGGAGCAACGAAGGTCAGTAAAAACAACTAAGGTCGCCGGAGTTGCTAGAGACGGAGGTTTAAAGGTTTCTGAACTGAAATCGGAGGTAAGTCTTGTTCTAGCTCTTTCCCTTTAACTCATGTTCTGTGCATACCTAGGTAGACTCCAGGGCTTTAATGGATGCTAAAACAAGTCTTTATTGCATGTTTGAAATATTTTTAGTTCCATTGAATTAAATTGATTTGCGAAATTCTGTAATCTCTGTTAACTGGTTCATACTGTCGTTGTATTTAAAGTATGTTTAATTGAGAACCTTGATGAATATTGATGTCTTAAAAATTAGTCTGGGATATTGATTGAATAATAGAACACGTAGTAAAAGATTTACAGAGGCCTGAGTAAACTGAAATAGCTTTGTTGGAATTAAACTGTATTACAAGTTCTTTCAGTTCGGTTAATTGATGCATGATTTGTTTAAGTTTAAGCTTTGTTTAATTGATGTCTTTGATGCATGTCAATGCTTTATAACTGTTGTAGGACACTAATTAAACCTTAGAGCAAGTATTAAAACAAATACAGAGGTCGTGGAACACGCCGGAGTCGAGGAAAACGAAGCACAGACGGGGAGACAGCTCTTAGGGGTGAGAGAGACGGCTCCCAAAGGAGGGAGCCGCCTCCCACAATGCAAGAGTCGGCTCCCAAGGCCTTAAAGCCGGCTCCCAAGGGTGGGGAGCAGGCTCCCATATTTTGGAGAAGGCTCTAAATTTTTCTGAGCCTTCTCTTCCTCTGAAACATACAGTTATGTATTTTTAGGGTCTGTTGGGTCGGTGCAGGGTATTTTTACTTGGTTTAAACTATTTTAAATCATGTGTAGGAATGTTGTAAACCTATAAAAACAATAGGGAAACGTCAATTCATAATTTGATTAAGGAATGGAGTGGGGTGAACTTGGGGAAAAACCTGTAGGTTGTGCACTGTTATGGTTAAGAAATTTATTACTGTAAATTGTAGATTGTTTTTATTTATGATTTAAAGTTGTGAATCATATTTAGATGGAGTTATAAGTATAGTGACTTACCTAAAATTACCTATGCTTTGTTTGATTAAAAATTTATATGTTTGCTATTTAACTGCATCAATTTATGGACAAGTTGGAGAATGTAAATGCTTAGATTATTTTAGCAGTTTACATTATTGGAATGTTATTTTTAGGCCCTATATTTAATGCCTAATACTGATATATATGTATTAATTTATATTGATGCATAGTGTGGAGTATAGTTGATGAATTGCTTAATACTGTTTAATCAATTTTATTATGTGGAGGTATGTATATGCATCGGCATGGGACGGTGGCATATTGGGGATGGATTAGTTCAAATACTAAGTCCTACCTATCTTGAAATAACATGGATTAACTGTCCTACTTATAAGTTGGTGTCAGGTCAATAAACCTTTTGAATGACACACCTTGAACGGACTTTATATATTTATGTTATGGTGCCATGGTATGAGCTTGAGTCTCAGGACCATGGTTAGGGTGCGTATATCGCCTAGGATGGATAACTGGACGGTGGTTTCTGTTCCCTGGTAGGTCTAGATACACATGACCATAGTATGTGCGATTTGCATGGTATCTCTACTAAGGCTGAGACGTACCACTTGGACTAGTGAGCGTCCTTTAGTGTGTAATTATATATATGGACTACTCTAGATATTGTTGAGCTATCTAGGATGTATCTGCGTATCGGGTTTCTGATTGGATCGTAGTAGAATAGGACTTGCATGTGGGCCTGACCCACTCCTTTATTTTTTTCAGGTGTTGTCAGTTCCAGGGCTAGGGCTTTGACGTGCAGAGCAGATACAGACACTCACTCCTCCGATAATGTAGGATTTCATTTTATATTCTAGATTAGGATTTTGTCTTCAGCTGATTATTTCAATTTGGATTTTAGGGGTCCACTAGATGGATTCCCGAGTTGTATCTATTTTGGAGATTTGGATTTTTATTAATCTTTATCATTTGGAGGATTTTAAATTTAGTTTTGTTTCCAGCTTTAATATTTATTTCATAAATCTATTTTGTAATCTGTGTTCGTTTATGTATTAATTGTTTGGTATCCCTTGGATCTGTGCTCGGACTTGATCACCCGTGGCTCTAGAATCGAGGGGTATCACAGCCTATTTCCAAGTCAATAGATTGGTGGTAGGCCATATTAGTATATGCCATAATTAAGAACCTTAAAGAAGATGGACAATGACTAGGTCATGAGACCAGTCTATTCAAATACTTTACAGCAAATGATCAACATATCTATATTAAAGCTATGCACATCGTGGTAATCATAATCACTTAGTGTCTTGTGAAGTTAATTTTGAAAATGTGGTTTCACATCAAATATTTTCTAAGAACTGCCTAATATGTAAAAAGGGACACCATAGTTATTTACCATTCCAATTTCAATATTCAAGTTGTTCAAAACAAAGCAACCTAGTGTGTCCTGCGACCAATATGTTTTGCAAGTTCATGTTTGAAGATTTTGTACTAAAAACCAGAGAAAGGGTTAAGAAAATGAATTTAATATGGTGGAAATTTAAACAATTCTGCATCACATATTATAAAACAAGTTAGTGGTGATAAAGTCTTCAGAAACCTAGTCATCAAGCTAATCTTAAAGGAGCAATATGCAATCTAACCCTTTAAAAAGTTGAAGATTAGATTGGGACCTTGAATCCTTTTGAGTCATCTCATTGACCCACTGTGGCTGGCTGGTAAGTTGCGCAGACAATGCCATTGGCTAACATAAGTCTAAGTTCAATGTCTTTTTCTTTCTAAACAATGAATATGATTATTTTCTGTTTCACTGAGAAGGGTATAACACTATGGTCAAGGACATGTTCAGTATCAAATAGGTTGTTGCTTTATTAGTTCAAGACAACGTGATTGTATTCGCATCTAAATTTTCAAGTTGCACTTGATTGTTTCTGAGTTCAGTGATTTTTCTAGGAAAAGTGGAATATATATTAAATAGTAAAAAACAAGAAAACCACACTTCATCCGCAACAATTCCCCACCTCTATTTGTGCACAAAAAATTCAGAATGGTCACTTAAAGGCATGTGACCCCCTATAAACCACAAAAATGGTCACTTAAAGGCATGTGACCCCCTATAAACCGCAAAAATATTATAAGATCCAAATTTCATAATCCAACATGCTAGCTTATAGTTAACTTACAAAATTCCTCTTAGCTTTCTCGTATGCCCATCCACCTTGTTCCTTAAAATGTGTGTCCTTGTACAAACGAATAGCAGGATCCTCATCCTTTTCATCGTCCTCATCTTCTTGGCTCTGCCTTTCTTTGAGTTTGACCTGCAGTACAAAGTAATAGTGACTATTAGACAAATATATGGTTTAGAACGTAGAATATAAAATAAAAAATTTATAATTATTGTTTCATATATTACGCAAATAAGCATCATAACGTCTGACGAAAGACATTGATCCAGAATAACGTGGAACCTCATTCTTGGAACGATTTTCTTTATTTTTTCCACTTATTTCCTAAGTAGTAATTCAAACAATATTACAAGTTAGGAAACCTAAATAGCTAGTGAATGAATTATATTAAATAGTAAAAAACAAGTAGTTACGAAATTGAACCTGAAATTTTGGTGACATCCACGTATCACACAATAAATGGGCAGTGTGTGTTGAAATCAAATTGTTATAAAAGAAGTTTTTATGAGTTGACAATTACAATAATACTTTTAGTATTCTAGCCACTTTTTATAAGTCTGCATTGTGTGTGGTTTGTTTTAGAGTTTTCTTTCAAAATTGTCATTTTCGAAGTATCATTTTCGGTATGCAAACAGATAAGTCAAAGTTCATTAAAGCAGCTCAAGTGAGAGCTTCATTATCAACCGGTAAGTAATTTATTTTGCTATTGATTCATGGAGTGGATGGTTTTTGCCTTCAGTTCATTATATTCAGAAACTTTTGTGGTGATCAAATTGAATTGTATGTATCACACAGGTTGTACAATTGAAGTAATCAGTAAAATATCAAACTAAATTACAACTCCCCACACCGAAGAACCGTAAATTACCCACATCAAGATTGAAGTAATCAGTAAAATATCAAACAAAAGAATAAAGGGAACAGAGTTCTACAGATTTTCAGTTCAAAAAACTCGGTAAAGATTACAATATAACATTAAAAAATCCACTTGGACTTAATTGATTAAAATTGTGCACTTAAGCCATCACATATTATAAACAACAATCAAAAGCATAACTTAAATAGTAATATATCAAGACCAATTACGATATACATTGCTGCTCAGCTAAGTATCAACCCCTCAATACATTTTACTAGAAGATCCGGGATTGCTCAACCAAACTAACTTTGGTGAAACACAATATTTAAAGGCATGATGATGTATTTCAGTTTTTTGAACTTATTTTGTAATCAAGTAGTTAGTTTGCCAAAAAATCAAGATAAAGACATACTTCAATTTATTAATAAGGTATCCTCTGTACAACTAACTTAATCATAATGTATCCCACATAGCATGTGAGACATTTATCATCACAGCTGCTGACCCAACGTAAAGCTCTAAAGAGAATTTCAAAAGACCGCGGAGAAGACAATTGAGGCTATGATAAATCTGATTCAGGTGTCAAAAATAGTATGAATTGAAAGTAGTCCTTTCAACCCCGGTTTAAAAGATCATGGAAAGTGCTCAGAATCCACCATCTAAACTCCCTTCCCTAAATGCCCAAAAAAAATTCAATCGATGTTCCATATTTCAATAAGATGGCTATAGTTTTCTCTTCCGAAACATATTTTTCATCATTCATATATCCCAGAAATAGCTCTGTTTTAAGATAAACTTTTCTAATCTAAAACTCTATTTAATACAGAAAAGAAGAATTTTCTTTTTATTATAGTCATAGCCTCTTAGGTAGGGAAGTGGACATATTGAAAATTGTTTCAATAAAATAAGGACAAAAAAATGATATCAACAAAATCAAAAACCCTAAAAATCAAGACCAATTACGATATCAGAACCACAAACATAGATACATTATTATACATGATATCAACGAAAGAACACTAAAGACTGAAGGAACACATAATAGAATATATAGTACTTCCTGATTCTGATAGCCTCCTCCAAGCCCTAAGATTCTCTTCAAAACAACAAAGAATCGTTTCTGCAAACCTGTATTTCCCACAACGATTCACACTCAGACCACAAGTCGACTCCAGATTTGGTGAAGATTAAATCTTGTGATCCGGTGAAGATTGAAACCCAAAGAATGTTTGATTAAGAACCTCTATCTTCTGCGACGGTGGAAGAGGGTGGAAGAGCCTCCGTCTTCTGTAACGATGGAAAAGGGTGGAAGAGGATGGAAGATGGTGGAAGAGGCGTGAAGGCTTGAGGGTTCAGAACTGAAGACTAAGTATATGGAGGTAATGATATATATAATTAAACGACGTAGTTTATGCCCTTCTTCAGTATTTGTAAAATAAAATTATTTTATATATTATATTTTTGTAGCGCCAAACAAAAAACTGAAGCGCCAAATGTTGCCGCCCTATTTTTTTGTGGAATTGGGGACGGGCTAGTTAAGGTTTTAGGGACAGTCTTTAGACTGTGCCAAAAAATAAGGTTTTAGGGACGGGCTAGTTAAGGTTTTAGGGACAGTCTTGAGACTGTGCCAAAAAATAAGGTTTTAGGGACAGTTTTTTAAACAGTCCCTAAAGGACTGTGTAACGACCCTGGATTTTCCAACCCAGTGTGTCCTGTGATGACCCAAAATGGATCCAAAATGCGGAAACAAAAGAAGAAAGGTGACCTCAAGAGATGTACGTCATCCCTAAGGCACCAAAATGACTCCATATGAAGCTATGGAACTCAAATGAGCCAAGCAATGAAACAAGAATACCAAACCCGAAAAGAAATGAACCAAAAGCAAAATGGTCATTTCACACTAAAATGGGTACCACCGTGCACACCATTGGAAAGCCAACGAAAAATTAACTAGAATAGACTCAAGAATTGCATGATTCGGAGTCCGAACGACAAAGATATCAAGTTCTAAAGTCGAAGGAAGGGAAACCTTATCCCGGTTCGAACAAAAAATAGACACTACCCTACTAAAACTTGAATATCTAGAGCTACAAGAAGAATCTAAAGCTCTAATTGTTACCATTGGAAAGCTTATTTCGACGCGATCAATTTAGACTCAAGAACGGACCAAAGTTAAAACAAAGAAGATATGATAATTTGAAGTCGGAGGTGCAGTGCTGAACCAAGACACAAACACACACACACATGAACAGTACCACGAGCGCTCGTCCAAGGGCTTGGAGCGCTTGTACGCCCCTTGGAGCGCTCGTGCTACTGTAGGCTACACCTGAAATGCTAACTTGAAATGCAATTTTGAAGACTTTCTGAGCCTTTTTGAAAAAAACACAAAAAAGAAACCCCACTCAAAATCAAGTTTTCTAGCCAACCATGCCAAAAGAAAACTTTACTTATCATGTGAAAACCCCAAAATGCCCTTATGCACTAATTTTGCAAAAGAAAATGCAAAATGTGCCCATAATAGGCTCATTTCATCAAGGAATGAGTTTTTCCTGGAAATGACCATGCACGCAAACGTAACTTACCTATTAGGATACGCTACAATGATCCATGGCTTAAAAATACCGCCAATGCAAAATCCGACCCCCCAACGGCCAAAAAGCCAAAAATGAACTTGAAATGGAAATTTTGAAATCCAAAATTAACAAATGATTAGAAATTACCGTTTGGCCCTTGGCCACACTTCATACATGATTAATGAATGCTAATGGATGAATCTCATACACAATGCATACTCCGGTGCAAAATAACATACTAAAATGCAAAATTTTCATATATTCTCATTAAAGGGAAAATTTAACATCCATGGCATATATGTGATTTCAAAAGAAGTTTGGTCATTGGCCTCATGTCATATACATAAAATGAGAATCAAAAAGTGTGCTTAGGTACACACTACAAGTTTAGAATTAAGTATACATATTTGACAAATAAGGTTACAAATGGCATTTCAAGCCAAACTTCACAAAGATGGAAACCTCCAAGTCCACAAACCATCCAAGCATAATGAGAGTCTCAACTTTAATTCCTGTACCTGAAAAATGTCCCCACAACGTGGGTGAGTAACATAAAGCTACTCGTAGGAGATGAGCATGCATCGACCTAACTTTTTACAATTTTATCACCTTAAGGTAAAACATGTTAAAGGGGCTAATGCCACCTAACGTCTATGTCAAAGTGTGAACTATGGAGCATCCTAAGCTACCTAAGATCATTTCTAGCACAAATCACATCATTCGTGCAATTCAAGTAACATGGGAACATGTTATACAAAGCAACAAGATGTATATTCTCAAGGTCACTTACTTGAAATCTAAAATGCTAAAACAACTATAGTGGATCATGCCACCTAAAGTCTATATTCCAAATGAATCTATAGGATCATTCCAAAGTCACATTTGAACAACAAGGCACAAATCACAACATCTACACAATTAACCAACATAGAAGCTTGCTACACAAGTATCAAGATATAGATTCTCAAGGTTACCATCTTGAAATCTAACATGCAATAACAACTAAATATAACAATTTAGTACAATTAGAATTTCTAATACCATACATCAAGATATAGATTCTCTAAGTTATCAACTTGAAATCTAAAAATGTGAAAACAACTAAATATAACAATTTATTATGGATGTACTTAACAACATCAATCGCCAATAGCCAAAACCACAAGTCACAATTAAACATGATTGTCAACTTGGAATTGAATGTGAAATCAAAAAGTGAAAGACTTGGACATCACGTCTCGAATTTTCGCCGAGAACTAAATGGTTATTCCGGGCATTAACCCGCTGGGAAGACCACCCTAATGCACACTATCTCAATTGGGGAGAACTCATACCTCCCGCACTAGAGCCAAACTCTAGCCATGTCACTAATAACAATGTCCCAAGACTCCAAAATAATCAAATAAGTTCACAACTTATACGTAATTTATAAAATGCATGAAAATCATTTTCCATGCACAAGTAGGTTGAAACCACACAATCCATGCCTTAGACTTTCAATTCTAAAATGGCATATATAATGTCAATTACAAAGTGCACAATTCATTACACATGGCATCAATATATTCCAAAAAGAAAACATGTTCTCATGAATATAAATATAATAACAAAGTTGTCCAATGCTCAAAACACAACAAAGTGGATACATAACAAGTTCAAGTCCATGATTTGAATATAGAAACAACTTCTAAAATACCAATAGATTCATGGAGCCATTAGATAGAATTTAATTAAACAAAATAATCAAATTCTCTAGATTTCAAATCAAATTCGAATAAGTTCAAATTAATATATATTAAACAATATAGCATGCTCATTTCATATATCAAATCAAAAGTGTCAAATGAGCAAGATAGCATCATATAGAATTTAATTAATTTAAATTAATCAAATCTCTAAATTTCAAAAGTTATTCAAATGATCCCAAATTAATATATATCAAACACCAAATCATGGTCATACCATATCTCAAGTCTAAAATGAAATACAAGTAAAATACAATTTACTAGAATTTAAATCAAATTAAATCCATTTAATCTCTAAATTTGAAAACTCATCTAAATCATCCCAAATTAATATATATCAAAGATCAACTCATGGCCATGTCATTTACCAAGTCTAAAATAAGTTATATGCAAGATATGATAAATCACTAATTTCTCAAATTAATAAACGACATGCATACAACTTATATAAGCATCAATAGCATGCAAGAAATAAAAATATAATCCTATAACATCCCCTACCTCACTAGAGAAATGTCTCTCTAGAATCCAAGGCAAATCAACACAAAATGGTAAACCCTTCAAGGGTTATAAAGAGGAAGATGAAGGGAACAAAAAGTATTCCCAAGTTCAAGCTTGGAAATCAATGGAAGGCTCTCAAAAATTAAGGTCAAGACCTAAGGCTTCAAGCTCTATCCATGGAGGCTAGGATTTTTGGTGAGGAAGGAATGAAATAATATGAAAATGTGTGAGTGGAGGAAATAGAAATCCTCCACTCACTATGTGCTCTTATACCATGTCAACACACACATCTATGGTCAATTACACAAAAACCTTTCTTTAAAACCATAATCCCAAAGTGG